AACTGAGATTTGCCCGCCCTGATGTGCAAGTCGGCTCCGGGGTGGTTGTATCGAACTCCTGCGGTGGGGAGAACGAACCTGAAATGGTGTAGTGAGCTATTTGCGTCCTTACTAACATGTCTGAGCCAAGCACCTCGCAGCAAGAGCTGGCACCAGGCCAGAAGGATTACGTAGTACTGTGCTTAGACTTCATGTTCAAAGCTAAGGAAGATGGCCTCTTCAGAGGGCAGCGAGCCCGGGACCTGGTTGCTGAGTGTCTACAGATAGCACACGGCACTGTTACGACTGTGACGAGCACCTACAGAGCCGACAATGAGACCAAGTTTGAGGTGCACATCAGCCATTTAGCGGTGCTTGCTCCTTATCAGCTATTTAACCTCTATTATTTTATATGTGAAATCAGCGCGGAAGGAAGCGTAAGTGTACTTTTTTTAGGCGCACATGAAATTACGACCCAGCAGAGCGAAGGATAAGGTGCCTGCCTGTTTAAATAAATATTTGTGTTTTCCTTGCACTCAAATCGTTTACTGTTTAAATAAATATTTGTGTTTTCCTTGCACTCAAATCGTTACAATCGTAATCGGATTTGCTGCTGCTCAGTTGCGTACTTTCTTATACTTTCTTGCGCAAATCCAGGTGGTTTTGGAAATTGCCCAATCAATTGACCGCCTCAAAGGCAACCCGTTTCCCGTAAATCTGGGGCATCTGGAAAGAGTTTAAAAATGAGTAAACGTTAAGTTCACCTGTACCCGCCTGAAATCACCGTAAAACCCAGCACACTATGCATGGAGATGCCATTCTCGGACGCCCTGCTGCGGCAGCGCGCACAGCCGGGTGGCGCATCCGGCGCGATGTGCTCCCGCCGAGGATGAGCATGCAAGGTCCACTGACTGGGGTGGGCCACACCCAAATTTGGGCCACTTTTAGGTGGCACACTCCAGTCAGTATCTCGCGGAAGCTGTCGACGAGCAGCAGCAGCGCCGCCAACCCGGAAAGCCGCACGCGCCCCAGACCACACCAGAGCAGCATGCCGGGCCTCAGCGCCTCTGAGCTGCCTCCAGAGACTCTGTGTGCTGGTGACACGATCGAGTACTACTGCCGTGCCTTCGTCTGTTTAGACCCCAAGGGCTTTCGGCGCGCCGTCGTCACTTGCATTGACGACGGCGCGGACGTGGACTTCCCGGTCGATTTGGACACCGGGGACGTAATCCCGGGCGACATGATGATGAAGCGAGTCACTGCTGCGTCTGGAAAGCAGCTAGATCCCAGTGCCTCTCTCTGGAGGAAGCTACGGATGTTCAAGCTCGTCGCAGGGACGTTTTCAGCTCCATCGAGGGCCAGCGCGCTCAATTCAGCGCTTGCCGGGGCAATCAATGGTGCGGTAGAGTCCGTTCGGGAGGCGCTTTGTGATAAAAGCGAGGAGATCGTTCCGGAGACACCCCAGAGCAGCGCGTGCAGCTCTCCCGAGCCAGCGCCACGTTTGAGCCAGATGGAGCTGCCCAGCACTCCGACCCGGCCGTTGGCGGCGACAGAGAGCGGTGGTAAAGCTCCAGCACGGTCGGAGAAGAAGGCACGAAGCGAGCAAGCGTACGAAAGATCGTCTATTAGGGAGATTATCGACTTGGTGTCGTCGTGTGATGAGAGTGGAGTGCTTTCCGGTGCTAAGTCTGCCGAGCCAAGTCCAGCAAGCGAAGTTGAGGCGGCTGTGTATATGCGGGCGATTCCGAACCGCCACGCCCGGGCCAAGATCCGCCACCAGGCGAAGAAAACGCGTGCGCAATGGCACGTCCCGAGATCGAGAAAGCGCCGCTATCTGGCAAAGTGCGCCATCACCAAGAGCGGCTCGGAGATCTACCACGCGAAGCCGTTTCAGGCCGTCAAGTTCGAGGCCTTGAAGAACAGCCCTGAGGTGAGAGAGCAGCTGGAGACTTTGCACGCTAGACGAGATGTGTTCCAGGATCCAGCAGCGAAGCAGTCTCGCACGCTGCTCAAGACGGTGCCATGGCCGTCAGACGTCGAGCCCATTACGATCTGCAAGCGCAACGGCGTCAAGTTCCCGGACATCGGGGCAGTCGACGCATGCAAGTGTTTCGGCGATTGTTTTTGGGATACGTGCTCCAACGTGGCGTCCGCGTCGTTCTGCACCCCGAAGTACTGCAAGCTCGGGGCGAGGTGCAGCAACGCACCGCGGACGCTGGACACGTTGAAGCTCTTCGACACCGGTCGGGTAGGCCTCGGGGTGTACACCTCCACGGATCTCGAAGTCGGCGACGTCCTGGGCGAGTACTGCGGGGAGCTGATGGAGTTCCCCGCAGTGGTGGAAGGGAAACCACGGGCAGCCGTCATGGAGAACAGCGGCTACACGCTGCTGTACAACGCGAAGTCCGTCAACAGGAACATCGTCTACGTGGATGCCTTGAATTGCGGCTCCGTCACGAGGTTCATCTCGCACGCCTGCGAGCCCAACGCAGCTTTTATCGAGCAACAGACGCGGTCGAGAGTCCGCGTGCTAGTGAAACCCAAAAATGTGTCTGCAGGCGCCCAAGTGACTGTCCATTAGGGTAGCCAGCGCTGGTTCAAGTGCGCGTGCAACAAGTGCTGGATGGACCCGAGCCTGCAGGACGGCAACGTCGCCCAACACAATCTTGCAGAAAAATCAACGTAGTTCAAGTGCAGGAAAACTGTAAGCTCTGTTGTGGATATACTCGCTTGTTCAATATGCATTGGCCCTAGTCAGACTCCGTGCCACTATAGATCCTCTCCTACGTCCGCATCCGCGAGTGCTGGGTCAGTCTGCAGATAGTGCAGGTCTGATTGCTCGCGGACGACCCCCGGCAGCGTCGGTGCCTGCTGATCCACGCTTCTGCCCAATGCGTCTGCTCACGAGTATGCGCCGACCTGGCGATCCGTAGCCCGGAGCCCGAAAATAAGGTGCACACAGGTGCCGAGCTTGAAGGAGTAATTACATGGACACCACTTTCTCCGCAACTGAACGGGCCACCCATACGGTGGCTCGTTCTGCACTTCCATCCTGGCGTAATTGACGCCCATTTGGGCTGAGACGGCAATCGCCTCCTCCGTGGTTCGCTTGGCCCCCTCCACGACGATGCGCTTCGCGGGATACTCGAGGACGTGAACGACTCCGGCGTCCCCCACGACGCTGTCCGCGTCGCAGTTCCTTAAGAGCAACTTCTCCCGAACGAGCTCCACCACGCGTCGAGTCAGCGTGAGTGCAGCTTCGGGCTCCGTTCGGAATGGTCGGTGCCTGGCCGATTCGTTCATGCAGCAGTCACTCAGCTCCTTCAACAGCATGCCCATCTTTAGGCGCCGCCGCAACGTATAATCCCGCTTCAACACCTGCTCAACAGGATTGTTCGTTGTGGCAAAGCCACTCGGCGTTGAGTAGCATTGCCACAGTGAGAACGGTCCACGCAGCCACTGCGCCTCTAGGTAGTCGCAGAAGTCCACCAGCCCCGGGTAGTCCTCCAGGCACACAAGAGCTGATCCCGCAGATAGGAAAAGCTGGTCTGGTCACGGGCGAAATGCATGTTATACAGCCCTCGCACTAATGCACCCGCCACGTGCGAGGGAAATCCCTTCATGTGCTTCTCCACGTTGGTCATGACGTGGAAGAAGCACATAAGATACTCCATGCCAGGGTTGCTCTGGAACACTGTGAAAACTGCATTGCGCTGGGCTTGTTCAGCGTCGCCCATGACGTATCGCGGCATCAGTATCTGCTGCGTGATCCAGGTGTAGAGCCGGCTGAGCGCTGCCAGACAGCTTTCGTAAATTGGTTGCAGCCTCTGGGACACCACAAACAACGCCACGAGATGGAAGCTGCGCGCACGATCGGAAATGCCGATGACGATCACCGGATACTTTGCGGTGTTGATCTTGAAGGTGGCGTCCATGTGCAGTACGTAATACTCGGAGGGCAAGGTGAGCCTTCGCACCAACGCCTTCGTTGTCAGCCCCACAAGGAAGGGATCCTCATCTGAACCGTCGCCGATGATTGGCTTCCTGCTCTCATCGAGATCCTACGCAAAGGTGAGCGTGTCGTGGTTGCCCTCGCTCCCGGTGTACGCTCGGCTGTGGATCCACTGGGTGAGGTCCTCCAGCCGGTCGTGGTTCTCGAGCTCCGTCTTCGAGTAGTGATTGCAGAAGTTCTGCACCTTGTCCAAGGGAGGGAGGTCGTCCGCAGGAAGCTAAGGCTTCCGGGCCATCGCGTGTTGGATGCGCAGCGGTCGCAGCCGCTGATTGGCGAGCTCACGGCAGAACTCCTTCTGCCTTCCAGACAGCCTAGCACGCTTGGGAGAGGAGGAGGCGGTGAAGTGATCACCTAGCTCGTAGATGTAGAACTCACCACTGTCGGAACAAACGAGGACCTTGCCGCGCCACGAGCAGGTGACGGCGCTACAGGTCGCCGACTCGCACATGAGCAACTTGTACCGCATGCTGTGGTGCGAGCCGGCGCCACAAGCCGTACACGGCATTGCGTTGTTCTTCCCCGTGCTGTGCCTCTTCATCCTGATCAGCATGGCTTCCGCATCGTCAGCACTGAGCTCGGTGCCCACCTCTCTCCACGGCAACGTCCGGGGCATCGCTCGCTTGCTCTGCTTCACGAAATGGGGGGGGGCTCGGTCTGATTGGCCGAAAGTCGAAGTGGAAGCGCACGCTCCAGGCCCTTTGCTGCGCGCACTCAGCTCCTTCCACGCGCGCGGGGGCCACGTTCACGCACGAAACGAGTGCTTTTCATGCATCGTGTGGCGGTACCAAGTTATTGTGTGCCGAACAGCATCTTCGTGTGGGAGTCGCCATGCCACGGTACTGGTCAGGGTCTAATGGTGCCAAGATGCATTATCGTGAGTTTATCCACGTTTGCGGTGCCATCACCATACTTTAGGTTGCTTTTCACTCGTTCTCTTTAAAAATAGTCTTGTAGCGCAAAAAACGACTGCGAATCAGCTAATTCTGACCACATTTTTGAAATCTACGCCCGATTTTACCCCTTATATCTAGCTGTTGCTATAGGATTTGGGTTGCTGAATTTTCATAACAGATGGCTACATTTTGGTCCAAGGACTTAGTACAATAGTACAACCCACGCTGGTGGCTTCAAGCCACTGGCTTGTACCAAATTACAAGCTGTAACTACGAGTACAAGTTGTACGATGTAGAGAAGCTTTGAGCGACACTATTCGTTGCGTCCTCCTCATTCGCGTCTCCACGAATACCGGTACTTATTTACAGATGGGTCGTTGCTGTCACCTTGAAAAGACGCAGTATTTTTTTTTAATTGAACGCCACATTATTAAAAGAAGGCGGTGGAAATGGGGGAAGCCTCAATAGGTGCAAGTCGACCTGGCTCCAGCACTGTCAAGAACCGGGATGTCGACAAGAAACGAGCAAATCTTTGGAAAAAGCAAGCCAAGAGCTTCAAGCTCAAAGATGTGGGCAAGAAGGTGGACGCCGTGCGATTCTGTGCCCAAGACGAGCGATTCTTTCGCGAACAGACGGAGGTGCTTCCACTACTCATTGGATTTCTGTCCAGAACGAAAGTACGAGTAGTTAGTAAATACTTCTGTAGTGAGAATCGTCACTAAATTGATGTTTTCTTAGACCCCGGAACTCGTCATGGAAACGCTTACTGTGCTCTACACATTGTTGTCGCCTCCAACGGCAACAGAGGCGGCCGATGCCGACCCCGAGGTGATCCACCCTGACGTCAACGGTGCGATATCAGAACGCTGATGACCTATCTTCATCACGCTAACGTGTATGCGTACAGCGATATTTATACTGGATCGTAGCCTGAGTACCGACTCGGCGTGGAAAGCGGGTGAGCCGTTCATTAACCTCTTCGGTTTGAACGCACTGGCGTCAGATATTCGTGTACGTTGACGTTCTTGCAGACATCAGCGCTTCAACTGAGTTTATCGGTATCTTGCTACAGATCAAAGCAATCCAAGTGTACGACCTTCTCTTACGAGCCAGCGTCGAGTTGTCTATATCGACAGGGGCAGCCACTCCGTTCCCAACTGTTGGGTCTCCTTGCTCGGCTTTACTCGGCTGCTTGGCGGTTGATAACGGTGATTTACAGTTTACGGCATTGTCGTGTCTGCGCTCGTTGTTAAACAACCTAGACGAAGAATTTCTAAGCAAATTCGAGGCTGAGAAGGGAGTGTCACGATGTTTGGAGTTTGTATCGCACTCGGAGCGACGTTACCATCGCCCTGCACTCGACATCCTTGAAACCTTTTCCAAAATTGGTACGATAGAAGACAAAAATTACAATGAGGTTTCTTCGAACTCACGGTACTATCGCATTGTTATGTAGACTGTGGAAGGGAGTTGTTGAAAAAAAATAATGTGGCTAGCATTCTACGCAATGCCATCCAGGAAGTGCAAGAAATGATCCAGAAAACGTCAACTATTGTGCCTCTTAGTGGCGTAGATGCTAGTCCATTATCCTCGTCCGACGCCCCACTATTGTGCGCCAACATTGGCATTATCTGTCAAGTCTTCGTGCGCATGACGCTCGCCAAAGAACAAGTGGATACCAGCAAACCAGTGGAAGATAATGTTAAATTATTTACGGACGTAGTGGACGCAATGATCGGTATCCTCCGATACGACATCGCGTCTGGTTTAACTGCTTCCGTTGTGCCTACTGAGACCCCGCGAGCGACGGGTGCTGCGGCAGCGGCGGCTAACGCTGCACTGGCTAATGCTGCTGCATTGGTAGCGCTACTTCCGTTTAGTATTGAGCGTTGTATCGCAGTGATCTCCAGTCTCGGTCGCATTATCGAGAACAGTGAACAATGCAAGGCGCATGCAAAGTCACAGGGTCTTCTTCCGGTACTACTCGATTGCTTTAAGGTTAAAGAGGCTCGTGATCTTCACCAAGTGGCAGACAAATTACTGCACTTGTGTATACATATTATGGATACTCCTGACTCGAACGTCATTGGAGGCGACGGATCCGGACGTACGCACCTTGATGCTCAAGTTCTTTGTGCCGTGTCGACTCGTGGCGTGGAGATAAGTGGAGATGATGAGGTCGATCAAGCAGACTATGCAGACAAACCTCCTCTTGTGGCGGTAGATACCGTGCTGTCTCTACTGGAAACTAGCTGTGAAGCAGCTAGCTCCGACTTAGTTTTCCGTCATGTTCGATGGCTCGCAGCGCTTATGGAGTTGCCAGGAAATGCTAACATATTGGGAGAACGAGCTGTGTCGCTCTTTCTTCAAATTTTAGCAACGACGTCCTCCAATGACAAGCTGTTCTTTGCGTTTCTAGCTAAATGCATTCATGCAATTGTACTCGAGAACTCGGCCGCCTTCGAGGTATGTTCCTTCAAGTTGTCAAGAGTGTATGGTTGCTTACTTTTTTTTAATGAACTGTAGCTTTGTGGGAGCGGAGGTAACAACCCTTCCCTTGCATTTCTCGAGTTTTTAACGCAATCATCGAAGTCTACAGAGATCCTTGAGACTTCAGACACCGACGTGTTTAGTACAGAAGAAAACGTTGATCAACCGGATGAAATTAAGTGTTTTAACGCGCTGATTGACAAAGCTTACAAGTTGGAATGGATCGACGAATACAAAGAGGAGGGCGCTTTTGAGCCGAAGCCATTAACGGAAACTCTGCATGGTATCGACGTGTATCTCGCCGTTGCAGAGGCTCTTGCTGCACTGGCCAGTGCCTTTCTCAAATGGAATTCTAGTGGATCGACGGCAACGGATTTCAGTGAACTCATGGCTACAGTTTCTCCTGGGAAACCGGAAATCCCCACGTCCGGAGGGAGTAAGAAAAAACTACCAGCAGATCAAACCAAACCGTCAGCGATGGGTGAAGCTGTTATGCTCGCTCTATTAGAAAAAGGTTTGCAAGTACCGAAGCTCATATCACAGTATACTGCTGTGAATCCAGCCGTGTGTGTATCGCTGTTGGGGCTACTGGATAATTTAATGAAAGTTACCAGTGGAATGAAAGTGTTGCTACATCTGGCAAAGAATGAACTGCAGTCATCTACGGGAGAAGAAGTGGAGACTTCTACAAAGGACGAGTGGCCTTTATCAGTGGAATGTTCTTCTCGAATGGAGCATACGCTACTGCTTCTCCCTGTTTTGAGTGTTCTCCAGTCACCGGACACCTCGTTCATTGAGATAGAAGCTGCGGTACGTTCGATTTCTGTGATGACGAGTGACTTGGAGCCTGTAGACAAAGAAGCCACAACGCCAGTGTCTGAATCCGTGGAAGCTATAAAGAATCCAGTCAAAGGCGGAGTTGCTGCTACTCCCACGCCACCTGTACCGTCAATTCCTGAGCTGGTAATTACAGAAAGAGACCGCTTCATCAACGCTGCGATAAGCAGTGGCGCACTCGTAGTACTACTGGCTTTTACGGACCTCGCTCGAGTCCCACGAGAAGCAGAAGATTTTGCTAATCGTGCGAGTATTGTGAAGACACAGATTGATGAATTGGTGCAAACTTTCATCACATTAGCTCAAGTGAAGCAGGAAAACATCGTTTCTAAATACCAAGAGAAATTGGAACTGGAACAGAAAGTAGTTGACGATGAGAGGGATGTTACCTTGAATTTACCATACAAGGACCGATGGGCTGAATTACTCGACCACAAGTTCAGTGTCTTTCGGTTTGGGTATATCAACTACTCTGCTTTACTACTGGCATCCGAACTTGCATTATCGAATATAGCTTCGACTCTATTAAATGCTGGAGTCTCACCGGAGACTGCGTCACCCGAGGGATTGACACCTTTGATGATCGCGTTCTTGGTTGGAAACGAAGAAATGATTATCGACCTACTTGATGCTCGAGCCAATGTTGACGCTATTACTACAGACGGACAAGACCTCACCGTCTGGAATTGTGCTCTGGTGTCTCCAGTAAAGGCTCGAGTGAGTGACTTGATCACCAAAGTATACACCGACTCGACGTCTATGGACGCACGTATAAAACTGGATTCGATTGCAGGATCTCTCAGATTCCTGGACATGTGTCTGGATGCTGGGGTGGATACGAACGTATCAAACGCTCAAGGAGATTTCTTGCTGCATGCTATACTGTCGAAATGTATTGTTCGCCGTAAATTACGGGGACTAGATTTGTGCTATCGATACAATTCCTTGCACGAAGACCAGAGACGTCTACAGAGAGCGGTGCTGGATTTGATTCAAGCGCATGGAGCTAATGTGAATAGCTGTAATCGCATGGGCCAGACTCCACTTCATTTGACATTGTTAAATGGGTACACTGATATTGCGAAGATATTACTAAGTCATGGAGCAAATCCGAATGTACAGGGTATTTACGGACACTTCCCATTGCACTATGCATGTCTAGGCTTCTGTGGGGGTCTAGATGGCAGTGACGGCGAAGCTATCGAAATTATTCGCCTGTTACTTGAACAAGCAGAAAAATACACGTGTGTTCGAGGGTCCCACATAGATCGCAGGAAACACAAAAGTGCAGCTGAGAAACAAGCTCTAGCGATCGAAAAAATCCTGGAAAATGGTCTCCAAAGTGTCATCGAACCTCAGTCGATCGTACTCAAGCTGGCCAACCCGCAAGATATTCTATCGACAACGTCGTTCTGCGGTAATTTCCTGGCGTGGCACTTTGCCTGTGGCGCATACATCCAGCTCTCTTCTGCTCTATGTCTTGATGACGATATGCAAAAGTGGTTTGAAGCCAATGGACAAGCGAGGGCAGATATCCTTCGATACTTGATTCGAGAGTGGAAGGTTGATATTTCTACAACTGCAAGTGATGGCTTAACAGCTCTACATTTGGCTGTAAAAAGCGACCTAAACGGCAACAATCTTCCAGTGATCGACGTGTTATTGGAGAACTGCATTGTTTACGTGAACGCCGTTCACGATCATATCCTCATTGACAGCTTACCTGTCATTCCTAGTGGAGCGCAGGCTGTTTATCTCGTTGGAGATGACCGAAAGCAAGCATTCGTGTCGTCTCGATCACTCGATGGGAAGTACCACATCATCTTGGAGGGAGGCCACCACGTTGATCACGTTGCACGTGAACAACTGCAAGTTATCCGTGATCCCGGTACAAAACGGTCTCATCATTCACACCACTACAAGTACTTGTTGCCTATGGAGAGCAGGTTTGCCGCTTTGCATTACGCACTGCAGTCAAGCCACGACACACTCGCTTTGCGATTATTAGATGTACCAGGTATCTCACTTGACCCTGAAGGCAGTGACCTCCCTTTACTCGCATTGGCGTGTGCTGCATGTCAATCTCCTCAAGTTGTGAAGCGATTGATTACGCAACAGGCAAATATGCGCGTGCATTTGCCACTACGAACATCCAAGTGTGACTTGACAGCGGTCGACGCTGATACTTGTACTAGTATTGCAAGCCGAAAACATGCGGCCGCGCTTCACTATGCGGTTATGTATGATGACTATGCAATGGTTGAAGTGCTGGTAACCAGTCCTGAAGGTCATGTGCTTCCGAATGTGAAGAGATCTGGAGATGGCTTCACGCCGTTGCATCTGGCGTGTAAGATGGAGAACATGAAGATTATCAAGTTATTGCTGGATCATGGAGCGAGTTTGACGCAGCTTTCGAGTATGTCTGCACATGGCGTGTCACCTTTGGAGTTGTTGATGAAGTTTGATACGTTGGAGAACGATAAACTCCAGGAACTTATCAGTGAAAATTACTTTCGTCCGGAAATGTTGCTAGAAGGAGGGACGGAGTATGTCACGGCAAGGCCGAATTCAGCGGTAAGTGACAATAACCAAGCATCACAAGAGGTTGATAAGAAGGATAGCGAAGGGCAAGCCAATGACGACGGTGACGCACTTTCGTGTGCTTTGTTACGAGAAGAACAACACAATTTGGATTTTTTCAAGCGTCTTGAGAATTTATATCGTGAAAGACGCGCAAGTCATGAAGCTCTTAGTCGACGACTGGAATCAGAGCTGGGGAAGAGTGATGCTGTCTTGCGTTTATTCTTTGATTTACTTCAGAAACCTCTGGAATCAAATGCTACGCCGGCGTCACATGATGAAGCTTTCCAGCGGCTACGTCATCGTCACGAATGCTATCGTCAGTATACGACTCGGTCTCAATGGAAGCGGAAGGCTAAAATACCTCGAGTGGCTACCACGACGGTGCTCGAAGAAGCAGAACCAGCGTTAGTCTCAGGCTGAAGCAGGTTTTTTAAAAGAATTTATCTTACGACATAAATTACGCAACATCAACAATGTTTTTTATTTTTGGTTTTTGGGTACTATACATAGAACCAGTCCCATTTTCTTTGGACCAGAAGATGAAGTTCTCGGCGGAAGAAGAACGCAGTGAACATGCGGATCTCCACGCTACGAATGGACCTCCAATTGTACCTCAGTTGAATTTAAGCTCACTTTATGACCAATCCCGGTTACCTCCTGTGCATGCGAATACTGTTCGAGGAATGAGAGAAGTGCTCACTAACGCGGATTCAGGCAGTCAGACAGGCCGAGTACGTTTCGCACCTCGTCCACGATCAAAACTTAAGCCGTCACAATCGTGTCGACGTCCTAGTCGCTCTCGCTCTACAATTCCTTTTCAAGGTTCGTCAACAGATCTGCACCAAAAACAATTGAACACTGCTCGTTGTTTCGAGACGATTAAGAGCTGGCAGCAATCTATAGACGCGAGCGTCTTGAAAAACCTTCTCGTCGGCGTCCAAGAAGCTCTTCACACTGCGATTTATCATGAGTCAAAACCAGATTTTAGAGTCGAATCGGAATCTTCCTCTTCGATTGATTTCGCTAGTAAATCGAAGACGGCAGAGTACTTTTCGCTAGTAGCGGATATGCAGGAGAAGGCGGAGAGACAACGGCAAGAACGCAAGCGTCTGACCACACAACTGTCAATGGAGAAGTCTTTGGGAAGTGACTTATCCATGCAACTACAGAATTTTGAAGGTGAACTCACTCAACTTCATTTACGACACGCGTATAACCGCGCGGAGATCAAAGGTGAACGACGTGCTGTGCAGGCTCTAGAAGAAGAGTACGCCTCCCTTATTGACCAAGAAGTGGAGCTGAAACGTGACTGCGAAGTGTTCGAGATGCAGCTGGAAACACAGCAAGCTCAACTTCGAGAAATCCGCAGTCAGCAGCTATACTTGGACTTCGTGTCGAACGCTCCTTTAAAGCGACATTTAGAGGAGAAAAAGTGGCAGGAACAACATGCGTCCGTGGCGTTACAAGTTCAGAACGCCGAAGTCGAGAACCGAGAGCTGGAAAATGAGATCCGAAAACTGGAAGACGAGACTTGTAGTCTGGAAGCTCAATACGCACGCGAGATCCAGACAAAGCAGCAGACGGAGACCTCATTATGTGAACTCCAAGCGAACTACGAGCAATTCCACGACGCTTTTGAACGAACGAGGACATGTTACACACCCAGACCTGACTGGGATCGTATCGTGGACGAAACACCGGAGTTGTCTGTGCAAAAATATCAGTTTGGGATGGTAGAAAACGCTAGTACTGGTGACGATCCTGAGGTGATGAACAGTGACACAAATAAAGACAAAGCTGGAGTACTGGAGCGTCTGGACAGCATGTACAACATCGCAAACAAGGATGACGATCAACAGTCAAACGGAGGACGTACCAAGACATTGGTGAAGGAAATGCTGCACTGGATTGAGCGTCTTCAAAAACACTGTGGGTTAACCTTCATTTAAGTCGGGTACGTGGTATAAAATTCTTTGTTAAGCTTACAGTAACAAACTAACTTAACATTTCGTTATAGATCTGGCATGATGTCGAAGAAGCTCGAGTTGAGTTGAATATTTTACACAATCAACTTGATCGTGCAGTTCGGAAGAATTCAATGCTTCCGAATATATTTCCGAACGACTCAGGTGTCATTACCATTGCAGCTACATCACCACGTTCTGGGTCCCCCTCGAAGAGGAGAACCGAGTATATTATGGCTCTGGGTACGCATGAAGCAGTGCCTTTGTTCCTACGTCATCGTGGTAAACTGAAGAGGAGAGTATTAAAGAAAATCGACGCGGAAAAAGTGGTACGGAAGGTGTGGGTCGAAAAGCGGAAGCGTGAACAGCGAAACCCTCTGGGACGCTACTCACTGGAGAAAGTTTTGTACGAGAAGCTGCATCGCAAGTATGGGTTCCAACCGTTGATCGCAGAGTGGGGCTATAACTTGTTACTGGCACTGCAGTTGTTTAGCTGGGACTCGGAGATCGAGATGTTCCTATTGTGCTTGACTGGAGCCGTCTCGGACCTCGTGTATGTGGACCAAGAGCAGATGATTCAAGGCTGTCAGCAACTGCTACTCCGACTGTGCGAACTCTACTGTGTCGAAAGCTTCGTGACGGAGAGACGTGTCTTGCTGAAAGATGCTCTGGTGGCAGTGAGGACGTATTTTCCTTTGAAGACGGCAGCGCAGTTGCAAGCTATCGAGCAGTCCATCATCCGGGATATGCACAAGATGAAGCGTGGAGGCAATGACTCTTTCTTGTATATCGATGACATTCTTCCGTTAGGTGTCAAATACCCACTAGGGTTTTTTGTAAAAACCATCCGTACACAGCATTTTAAGGAGATTCAGGACTATTACGCTTTGCTTCTAAGGTAGCGTCTTTGTCTTTGGAATTGGGTACCTTTGGATACTTCTAACTCTTTTACTTTGATGCGTGATGTTAATTTTAAGCGAGTTGGAACAGAGGGATACTGAACAGCGAGGCATTTTACCGATTTCTGCTGTCCGAGATGTAAATTACATTGTAGAATTCGCGCTTGATAATACGTGGATACTGATACATGTACGTGAACTCTTTCTTAGGCTATTCTGGCGATTGATCCACTGGCAGACTCCGGTGCAGTGCAGAGTCTGATTGTGAAAGCCTTAAATATCAAGACTCAAGTGCATCTTCATCTGCGCGAGCCTGTTCTTTACAAGGCCATATTGAGGGTACGACGTCTGCCATCAAACATGTATACCTTTTAACTAACTCAAATATCTTTAATTATTAGAAAATGAACGCGACGTGTTTGATGAAATTCGCATTAAACTTCGATCGGAACGCTGAGGTCAATTGGCGTCGTCGAGCAGGTGTTGTGTATACCGATAGTTCTACTACCAACACTGAAATTTAGCATCCAAATAATTGTGATTAATCCTTCCTTAGAGAATTCTGTATTAACAATATTCTCACTCCCAAATGATACTGAAGTCCGTGTCGATAGTTTGATTGGCGCTTGTGAGATCAATCTCCAGACGTTGCGTGTCGGAATCATAGTTGGAGATAAAACTTAGAGATACACGCGAAGGTGACGACGTCACCCCGAGTACGATCACCTTATTGACCAAACTCGTATGTGCGTCCACGTAATGATTCTGCACAGCTGTACACTTGAACATCCCGACCGATGCTGTAAAACTGACGATTGTAGCGTTCGGGTTGATCGTCTCGCCATCGTCCAAGAAAAATTCCCCACTCGCGTCTCCAGTATAAGACAACGCGACGAGGATATCGAATGGTGTGAGGCGAGCACTGGTCGTCGTAAGAGCTGGTTGATGCATCGCCAGGATCGTCCCAGCACGCATGTGAACCGGCATGTCGAATATGGTCACACCGATCGTTAAATAGACGCCAGAAGTCAAAATTTGCGAGAAATCAAAGATATTGTACCAGACCCCACGAGGAAAATATCCCGTCACCGTTGTTGCGCCTTTGTTAGCTACTGGAGTCACCAGTAACGCGTTACCAATCATGAACTGGTAGTTGATGTTGTGAGTGACTGTGTCAGTAGGAAACTCCATCAGCACTGGACGAGCAATCGGTAAACCGTCTCTGTGAGCGTGATAGCTTAGCGTGTAAATGTACGGAAGAAGTCGATATCGTAAGCCTATGAACTTTTGTCCAACGGCTGTGACTTCAGGCCACATGTACGTCTCCTGGGATGGAGAATCCAAGTTATTGTGGTTGCGAGCGAGCGGGTAAAAAGAGCCTAATGCTGTCCACCGAGCACACAACTCCATGTCGGAAGCTCCTAGGAAGCCACAGATGTCAGCGCCTACCATGGGTATACCAAAGAGCCCGAATTTCAAGAAAGAGGGGATGGACCAGCGCAAATCATCCCAGGTAGCGGTGTTATCTCCCGTCCAATGAGCAACGTGAGCGCCACTACCTGGGAACGTTGATCTGGATAGCACGAAAGTCCGTTTGTTGGTTATTTCTTCCAATACGATGGACTCGGAAAGGCCATACAAGTTGTGAGTATCGTACTGCCGGAGATCGCCGTACTGCAACGCCGCAGTTGATATTCCTTTGTGGTAGATGGCGTCGTGATTACCAGCGTTATTGATCGCAAAAGGCGGGTTATCGTACTTGTTTACGTTGACCGAACAATGGAGACAACAGATCGTCATAGTCGTGCTGTTTCCTGTCTTTGGACACGTGTCAACAGGATTGCGTGTACATTTTGATCCAGGACAGAAATTCGCGAGTTCGTTCATATCGATCCAGAGACCTTCGAAGGTGAAGCTCTTGTACATCAACTGGATCTGTTCACTCCAATATGAAGTCGCATTCGGGTGAAAGAAGTCTGGGAAAAACGTAGGACCAGGCCACACTTGACCTAGATACGGTTTGCCACTGACGTCTCTGATGAAGATATCCATTGATAAACCTTGAGTGTATGCGTAGTCGTTCGTGTCGTCTGAAATACCTGGATCAATGATGGGTACATATTTCTGTCCACTAGCGTGAATCTCATCCATAAAGGTAGCCATCTTGGCTTGTGGGAAGTTTACGGGGTCTAATGTGAAGTCATGAAAGCTCTTCATGTAGTCGATATCGGACCAGATGACGTCCAGAGGGAGATTGTTGCTCTTGTACTGGCTTACCACAGTACGGAGGGCGTCGATAGAGCCATAGCCCCAACAAAACTGGTGAAATCCATATGACCAGTATGGCATGAGCTTCGGACGTCCAATGAGCTTCGTGTACTGCGTGACGACGTTCGCTGGGGTAGGACCTAAAACGATGTTGAAGTCGAGCACACCGCCGATAGTCTGGTACACGAGGCGTCCAATGTCCAATGTTAGATCCATAACGTTGCTGTTAAGTAGCAGTACTCCATGTGCCTGGCCCTGTTAATACCAAGAAAGAATGGATGAGATCCGTACGTATTGACGTTCGGCTTGGCAGAAGGTTGATCGCGAGCCCATAGTGTATGCTTGTCACCTGTAGACATCTTGAAGTTATCGCGAGTGCTCTCACCAATGCCGTACACGCTAAGGTCATTGTGCAGAGCTGTTGCTACTTGGAGATATTGATCTTTCACCACCAACGAGATACCGGACGAGTCGAAGAGCGTGTAACCATCGGACTTCCGCACCACTTTAAATGTGAGCGGGTTCTGTGTGTAGTTAAACGAATACAGCGGATCCGTCGCAGCAGACTTCGCCGTGCTGGTCGTTCCCAGAGTACCGGCAGTGAACAAGCTCTTGGGCACCTCCCAGCGCTTGTTACTCTTGTCCCCGATCTTCACGCGGACACTGTCACTCTCCGTCTTGGTGACCGTCACCACGAGTGCCGATAGGTCCGTGCCGTACGGAGTCGAGGTCGGAGCAGTGTTTACTGCGAGGTTAATGGTGAGTACACCGGCATCTTCACTGGCAGACGTCACAGCGTAGCCTGGACCAGTGACGAGAGGGAGAGCGTGGCCGAGAATGCAGGGCAAGAAGATGCAACTTAGCAGTGCAGCTAAGATAGCAAGTTTCGTCATTTAGGGGAGTAAGAGCAACCAAAACAATGGGTCTGGGACGCTGTCGATCATCGACACGTAGGTCATCTTAGCGCGGGAAGGATCCCACACTCTTTGGTGGTTGATTTTCATAAAACAATTGTAAATATTAATAAAGCATCAAGCGAAATATATTTTGCTTTTTACCCGATCTTAATAATCTTTTTTTAAAAAGATTTTTTAAACATTATTTAGAGCTTTAGAATCATTGTTTCAATTCACAAAAGAGAGTGTCTATATTGACCGACTGAGTTAACCTTCCCCTACAAATTTTTGACGCGCTCCCATCCGTACGATGTATACAGTGTGTACCATGTATACCATTCAGCCTGACAGCCACTAAATTTCGAACAGCGTAGCGATCGTAAGGCTGTAGGAGGGGGAAACGGATCTCCGCGTCCGAGCCGTCCAGAAGAGGCCGCTAACTGGGGCTGTCGCGCGCGAGATCGACGAGAGCGACAGCAGCGATTCCGAGCCGCCCCGAGAAGACTCCCAGGACGACGTCTGGCTCCCAACACCCGCTGCGAGCGGTGCTGGTTCGGGTGATGGAGAGTCTTCCGAGGCTTTCAGTGTGTCGGATGTAACCGATTTAACCAGGAGCACTAGCGAGGGTGGTCCCCCCACACGCGTGGTGGCATTACCACTCAACACGGTGGAGTTCGCCTCGTGGGAGGCCTTCGACGAGTACCTGGCTGCGTATGAAGCCCAAACGTTTCAAGTATGCGAGATTCATTCAAGATTTAATGAACGGATGTCTGACCCCGCTGTCCCACTAATTTTGTGCTATCTGTCTTGTAGATATTCAGGGCGCGCTCTAATACCAGCGTGGCAGAGCGCAATGCCAGGATTGACAAGTCACAGTCAAAAGCAGCTAAAATACCAGCATCGTGGGAACAGTATTCAAGGACGTTTGTACGCACTCAGGGAAGTACAAGTCTGTAGCTACGAAGCGGCCACGCCAAGAGACTCGAGCACAGGGCTGCAAGGCGCAGGTACATATATGTCGGCCTGGTCGGGACTGGTCGGGTCCAGTCGGGGTCAATCGGGTAGTTCACTGACTGACAGTGGTTATATATGCTCTACAGATTAATGTCTGCGTCCAGGTAGTTGATACAAAGAATACGACGTTTGCTGTGCGGATCACTCGTTGCCGACTGGAGCACAATCATCGTCTGACAAGCCTGGCTTTCTCTTCACATCCATCGAAACGCATTATCCTCGACGAGTCAACGCTAACTACAGTTGATCTACTTCGAAAAAAAAGGTGTCAAGAAGTCTGGTATCATCAGCCACCTAATGAAGCACACCGACAGTAACCCCACCCCAAAAGATGTGCAAAACCTCGTCCAGAAACTAAAGGCTCGCGAACAACGCGATGGGCCTTCAAGCACTGACAAGCGGCTTAAGAAGTGGATGAAGCAATTCGGTGATGTGCCAGGATACGTTGGTCGGGTTTTCTTGGACGACGTTGGTGGCAAGGTAGAGTGAATGCTTTTATCAGGTCTAATGTCAATTCATGAAGTTAACATTTGTTGTTTTGTGTGCTATTGGATACGCAGAAAGTTGCGACTTGCATCACATTGCAAACAAAGCACATGCGAACACTATTCGACCAATTTCCTGAAGTTCTGATGATTGACGCAACGCACGGGACGAACCGGTCTAAGTATAAAGTTTTTTCATTCATGGCACACGATACGTTCGGCAAGGGCCAGTTTGTGCAGCACGCGCTGCTTCAAAATGAGCGCTATGAAACCCTGTTGACAGCGATAGAGGAATTCAAAGCGAACAATCCTGCGTGGTCAAGACTTCAATGTGTGCTGGTGGATAAGGATTTCACAGAACTGTCCGTATTTAAAAAGGCATTTCCTGGGGTGACAGTCTTACTTTGCCAATTCCACGTGCTGAAGTACCTACGGGAAGAGATTGCTTCAGCTGACTATGGATTTTCGAGGTCTCAGAAAGAGCAACTTGGCGGTGTTGTGAGCTTACTTGTCTACGCAAAAACGGAAGCAGAGTACGACAAACGCTTCCAGTACATGGTGCATCTTGCGTCGATTGGTTATTCCGGTCCAGTTGCGAATGATCGATCTGGTATCGTAGTCGGTGTGGAGTCGGGCTCAGTCGGTGTGGAGTCGGGCTCAGTCGGTGTAGAAGTCACAGATCATGAACTGGAAGATATTTCTTCTCGCATTGATGAACATCCTTTTGTGAAGTACTTTCGAAAGAATTGGGACAGCTGTCGTGAGCTCTGGTGTGCACATAGGCGCCAGAATACCGTCACACTCGGCAATAATACCAACAATCGCCTAGAAGCCTCTTGGAAGCAGCTTAAAGAGTGGGTGGATTCGTTTATGGGAGTGGATGAGTGCATCGCTTCGACCATGTACTATCAAACGTTACAAGAGCGATTGTTCATTGCAGAAGTATACAAGAATGTGACCGTCCAGCATCCTGATAACGACAGCGAGATGACACTGGTGGCGAATATTGTCAGTGAGCATGCTTGTGAACTTATATTCGGGCAGTATTCGTATGCTATTGGATCTGCGTCGTACACGTTTTATGAGGGATGCCCAGACGTGTATTTTATCAAGAGTATATCTACAGCTGATGACGCGCTGGACGAGATGAACGCCGAGTATTCAGTTACTAAGCGCGAATGGAAGTGCTCCTGTCTATTCATGTGCACAAGATTGCTACCCTGTCGACACGTTTTCTACCTCCGAAAGGCTCTTGGTCAGGAGACAGTCATCCCCATACTACTGTTAAACAGGCGGTGGCTGTTGTCTACTGTGCGTGCGGCGATTGAAAATTCAAGTGTCGTCTCTGACACAGCGGAGCCAAAGTCTTTTGAGGTAAAAAATGTGATATCCTCACAGGCGAGACCGTGGGACTCGAACCGCAAATATCGTGAAGCACTGCAATTTGCATCCCAAATTTGTGACACCATGGCGGGACGCGGCATGACGCAGTATAAAGAAGCGATGCAGTATCTTCAAAGTGTGACTGGGCGGTTCAAGAGAGGCAAATTCGAGGATCCCGGTGTGCCAATTTTACCACCAGCTGAATCTGAGCGTCACGGTTCGACTAGCAACTCGCGCGATGATGCGCTGTCGCCGCCACTACTTACTGGTCACGATCCGACTGCACGGACGACTCACCACGTGTCGGCAGAACTGCTTACTCGTCATGCGGATACAGCAAATATGAGTCATGTATCCCCAACTGCCTCTGAGTCTGACCATGCCACAAGCTGCAACTCCGTCGAAACAACACAGGTTGCAGATTTATCGGGCCAGTCGGTCTCGATCGGAGGCCAATCGGGCTCAATCGGGGGCATATCAGGTCCAGTCGAGGACGAATCGGGTCCAGTCGGGGAAGAATTGGATACAGTCGGAGACGTTGAATTAAGCACACTATCACCAGCAACGGAAGACACGCCATTTGTGATAGCGAGTCCTCCAAGATCGCGAGGACGACCAAGACAGACAGCCAGATCAAAGAAGGCAGCTCGTAAAAAAACTGTCATTGTAGCTCAAGAAGACTCAGAGCTGTACGCTTCGAATTTAAGCTTGGCGTCCGTGGATGCAGCGCTGTCTTCGGATGCAACATACATATCGTCAGCTGCAGTTGTGAACAAGTTCAAAATGGTGGAGTATGGCTTCAAGTTCAAGACACCTACAGCACGAACAATATCGAGCTTGCCACCCACAATCGCTTTGATACCAGCAGAGTCGATCACGCGGATATTGCGCCCTGAATAAATTGCCATTTGCAGGAAAAAGGTTTCGGCTCTGCAGTCGAAGCACAAAGGCCTAACAGAAAGTGCCGTGGCGCTGGATATTCCAGGCTTTGGTGCGTACTCAACGAGTACAATTGGGATCATGAATAGGTGGCACAGGGCAATAAAGGTGGTAAAACAGGTCGAGAAGGCTGTGAAGTGGGTCGAAACCATTGACTTCACACTCCCAATGCCTGCTCCGTTTCAAGTGGTGCTACAGACGGATATGCTGTCAAAGATGCAGTCAATCCCGCTTTTGTCTGCAAAGGTACGTCGACGAAATCATGCCATCACTACAGCACTTTCTAACTAAACGTTATGTTTGACAAACAGGCAGAAATTCTAGATCTCGTCGGAAAAAAACAGCTAAGCGACGATACCATGAATATCGTCATGTCCAAGCTGTTCGGAGAACGAAATGATGTCGTCATTGTGGATCCAGGTGTTATCGGTTCCATTGATAATGAAGATAGTCCTGTCAATACCAGAGCCTTCGCTTCAATTTTCGCGGGCAAGACGAACGAGAAAATTCTGATCCCTATATGCTGCAGCAACACGCATTGGTGCTGCGTAATGGTGAACTTAAATCTGAATGATGTGTGCATCTATGACCCAATGAGCTCGAGCTATGTCGTTAGAGTCCGAGCGATCGCAGAAAAGCTGGCAATGCAACTGCCAAACTACGCACCAAGGAAATACCAAGTACACCACTACATGGGCGATCTAGGGGTACAAGTAGATTCATACAATTGTGGTATGTATGTTCTGCTAGCGTTTGAGGTATTCGCTGGTGCCCAAGGTCTGTGCATGCTGAGTAGGAAGGAGTTACAGTATCTGCGCTACAGATACATATATATGTGTCTATAGTTAACTCTTTCAACAAGTCGATTTTGATTCTGCACTTACCAGTCCCACTGAGCTCTACTGAATAAAGTTTCTCATGCTCATGACATGATGCCGGTCGTACTTGCACGCTCAAACCACAAAGTCTTCACATCCGGATATACGTATACGGACGCTTGATTGCTCAACTGACTTATTTTGTGTCGGGCATGGTCGGGCATTGATCGGGTGCTGTCGGGCACCATTAGCCTGTCTCTTCCACACCAGTCGGGTTGAATAGCAAGTGCCTTCACAAAAAATATATTTCTGTCTCGTTTATCAGTAAACTACTGATACACCAAATAAACTAAGAACG